TGCCTCAAATCTTTCTCTTCCAAATTGCGTGGAATCTGAAAAAAAAATTTCGAAAAAATTTTTATAGAGATTTATGAAAGATAACTGTTGATAGCAGTAAAAAAGTTTTTAAGTAAGAAATTTGCATTTCAATTTTGATATAATTAATTAAATTCTAAAATTATAAATTCAAATATTTCTTAACATCTCTTTTATTCGAAACAAAAAAATGAAAGAATCTTTCATTCGAAAATTAAACAAATTTCATTTTCTAAATAATTATTCAAAAAACTTTTTCTCTCTGTCTTCACATTTATTTCAGATAAAATTATTTTTATTATATGAAATTATGTTTGTACAACAAAAGAATCGAGCTGTTGTCAAAGGGTCAAATAAAATTATTGATTGTTTGCTTCTTTGCTTATGGTATCAGATATATTCCAATGATTATAGCTTAAATTAAAAACAAAAATTTTTAAATGATTGCTTTTTATTATTTGAAATCACAATTGTACAAAATTTCAATTATTTCAAACTTATTTGAGTTAAAATATTATTGATAAATTCATTAGTGTTGACAAATTTAATTTTAATCAGAATTTCAATCATTACAGTTGTTATTGCAGTAGCAGTATGAAATGGATATGATAATATTCTTTAAAAAAAATAAGATTAAAACTTTTGATTTATCAATATGTTAAGCTATTTAATGATTTACACTATTTCTATGACATTTTAAGTATGCTAAAAGGAGAAAAATACTTAACATTTAACAGAATTCTGAAAGTATTCATCGGGAATTCTCGAAATCATTTATTCCGGTTAATTAAACTGAACATATCAAATCATATGATCAAAAAATTTCATAAAAAAAAAAAAAAAAAAAGGGGGGACGATGATTTCATTCATTTATGAAGAAGTACATGTAGTTTGCGGATTGAAAGCTGATTGGTTGATGCATAATAAAAATGATTGGCACACGTCTTTTTCTCCTTTCTACAGTAGTCTGCATAAATTTGTAAACAGATCTCATTCTTGTTTAATTTATTTCAGATTAAATTTTGCATTTGAAAAAAAAGAAAAAAGTAAATTTCAATGTTATTTTAGCATTGGAAAGTTTTATTTCTATCCCTATGCATTCTTCTATATGACAAATGATAAATGTTGAAGAAAAGGGAAAGTGATTTGATTGAAGGATGTAAGAAAGAACAAAAGGACAAAGATTATTTGATTTTTAGATCAAAGAAGAATTTGTATTGATTTATTCCTGTTTTGAAAAAAGCAAAGTTAGTTTAACAGCTTGACCATTAAAGTGAGAGAGAGAGAAGATGTCAGATGGCTATGTCTGCTTTATCTGTAATAATAGACAGATGGACATCTGGTCACTGATTAAAAATTGCACCAAATGGACAAATATTGGTTGAGTTCAGTGTTCATTTAAGGTTATATTCTTGTATTTAACAACAAAACGAAAAGAGGACTTACTTGTCCAACAAAAAGTTTGATAGTATCAGCATCTTTCACCGGGAAACCATTACTATCGGTAGATGACGAACGACTCATCATACTATCACCATTCATTTTACTTCCCGATTGTTGTTGTTTACTTTTATTTTGCTGTTGATGATGTACCATTTAGACATGAATAATAAGAAATGAATTATAGGAATAGAATTTTTACAGGTAGAAGTTTTGTAGCAATTTTTAAGTAGAATTAATAATTTTTTATAGTAGAATTATTTAGTAGTAATTATTTAGTAGTAATAAACAAGGAACTTGGTAGTAATAGAATATCTTTGGATTTACTAATAATCCTTCTAATCTAATTAGAAATTCACAAAAAATATCAAATGTTTATGCACTATCACTTAGCTCCAAAATAGATAATGTCTAGAAAATGCAAAATCACAAATAACAGTAAATTTTTCAGCTCACAATAAGAATACACCAATAGTAATAATGTAAAAGCGCAATATATTGACTGCGGAATACGGAATGCGGAATTACGAATAAAGCTTGCACCGGCTAGCCGAATATAAATTATAGAATTCAAAAGCAGACATTTTTGTGCACATTTTCACCAAAATTTTTGAATTATCTAGTGAAAATACCGAGAGAATGCACGAAACAATCACCATTATCACAAAAAAAAAACCACACACCACAAGAAAGGGACGAGGAGGAGGCACATACTGACGGCGACAACAACGACGACGACTGCTTGAAAGCCTGAAAATAAGCGCTTACATCATGAATAGAAGGCTGGAGAACGAGCTATAATTGTTGTCAATACTAGGCTAGCGACTTTTTAGTTAGTGCTATTTGCATGCTGCAGTAAGGGAGGTGCTACTGCATCAAGCAGACAGCAAATAGATCAGGGATAGTAGATAAATAAGGGTACATAAATGGATAGATAGATAAATGGATGGATGGGTGGATGGATGAATATATTGGGTTGGAAGGAAGAGTGCCACTCTACTATTTCCTGGTTTGATGTTTCATTAATCATAGAAGCTTGCTTGTATGAGAAAGCTTTGCAAGGGAAAAGGAGAAAAGGATCTGCTATGCTTCTTACATTTTGCTTTATCGAACAATCATATCAACTTGGCTAGAATTAGAATTTGCCATTTTCAGTCTGTGAAATGGACAGAGAGAGAGATTGCAATGGATTTGTTGGCTCATTTTTATGCTTAGATGATTGAATAAGGTAGGCTAATTTTATCGATAAAACTGCAGCAAGCAGGTAGATAGATGCAAGCATGGAGCAAAGCGAACAAGCAATTCACATATGCAAAAGGGTGGACTTTCTTGAAAAGCATCCATCCATCCATCAACTAAAACTACAAATTGCTTCTTGCATTGCATGCAACTATGTTATTTACTTGCTAACGCAATAAGTTACTAAATTAATGACACACAAGAATACATAATTGTCTTTTACTCTCTTTTAACATCTGAAAAATATCAAATAAATCAACGTGAAATAAAATATCGAACAATTCAGATTCAAGATAATTAGATATCAAATAAATTGATAATACCGCTCCGTTCAAAAGTAAGGATAAACTATCAATCAGAGTACTAAAATAATTTCGAAAATTTCAATCACTATAGACTTGTTATCTTGCAAATAGTCATTAAATTAATTAGTGAACTGAAAAATAAGGATGTAATTATACTGAAACATTGTTTTGTGTTTTCTTTTTTTTTTTTTTTTTTTAAACAGTGATTTGATTATTATCCAAATAAACCAATGTAAATGGCAAATTTGGAAGTTTGAATCATTCAAAATAGATCATATCATATCTATTCATACTTGTATGACTTATTCTGAATAAATCATAGCTTAATAATTTAGCATTCATTATATGCTTTTCTAAAAACTAATCTTTTATAAGAATTTTCTTTTTTTTTCAGACTATACAAGGTGAAAGTTTTTTTGATTTTGATTGTAGTAGTTATTTACAGAGAATTTATTCAATGCAATTGCAAATTCTCCAGAAGAGGCTGTTTTCAAGAAATTACGAATTATATATTATAAATGAAAGCATTGAATTGAACTGATAATTTTATGTCGAGAATCGAGAATCATTTTTTTTTTTTTTGTAAATTTACTTTTATTTTACAGTTCATATAGCTGTACAGCTATTGTTTGCTTTTTATTACGGTAATGTTCTGTGGAGAGAAATGTCCAATGGATTTACCTGTAAATTTATAGCTAACTAAAAACTATTTTTTAAATTAATCCAATTAATTAAATGATAAGGAATGAAATGTTACGAATGTAATATGCCTGGAATGAATTTTCTTTGTAAACTGCTTTATTCCCAATGTTATTTTTAAATTAATTTTCATATTATAAAAAAATAATTTAATATTCAGTTTTCATTGCATAGTTCAGTTCAATTCAATTTTAGTACATTTTTGCTTCAATATGCTGGCTATTTATTTATTTTTCTAAATTCAATTTTTTCCTAAATTTGAAAATAGACAAAAAAAAAAATTTTTTTTTGATTAATTTAAAGTCAACAATAAAATATGCTAATGCATTTGTTCTAGGCATTTCAAAATAAAAATCTTTTATATGCTAGATGTTGAAGAATGAAATAATTGAAATTTTTATCAAAATATATTAAATGATTGTTTCAGTTACTAGGAAATAATTGGAATAAATTATCATCGAATATAATTGAATATAATATATTAGGAGAAAAAGTGAAATTTATATTGCAAAAGATACATTTCATTATAGTTGTTCATCTAAATTTTATTATAGAATTGAGTGCAAATTAATAATATTAATTCTATGCGACAAATATTTGAAATTATTATGCTCAAGGTTAAATATTATTTAATTTTAAACTGATTAATATCATTTTGTGACAAAAGTTGAAATGTGTGCTGGTGTTAGTAACACATTCCTATCACATCGTCTCAAATTATTTTCTGTCCTATCATTTCAACAACCCCCCTCCTCCTCCCTTTCTACACATAACACACACTGCACACAAATAGATTAATTAACCCTATTTTAAATCATTCCTCATTTTAATCGACACCCGTTCAACCTTTTCATAATACATTCTTTCATCACCATTAACACTATTATCATTCATTATCAGTTCATTTTCATTCTATCCCCTCACCACTACTACTACTTCTACTTCTGCTTCCACTACCCACTACTATTGTTGATGATTTTAATATTAAAGTGAAATCATATAACCTGTTTATAGTTATAGTGATTGTTGTTTCTATGATATAAGCAATTTTCTAGTTCATTTATATCATAAATACTGTCTCTTATTAATATCATTCAAATATTGAAATTTTAAATTTTCATTGAAATTTTAAGTTCCATTCCATTCATTTAATTATCTATTTAAAAATTAGTGCTTTATAGTACATTCCTGTTAATATCACTGCTATTTTTTTCCTTTTTTTTTTTTTTTTTTTTTTTTTTTTGCTCATTTTTCATTTCATTTTGCAATTAATTGAGAACAATTTTCATTGTTGACATTATGCCAGCACCTATTTTATTAAAACGAGATTGGCAACGTGATCATGTGTACCTAATACAATTTCCTCGAGCAGGATGCATACCAAGTTTATCAATGTTTGCCTTAAAATTAGAAACATGGCTTCGAATGACTAAAATTCCATATTCGGTAAGATAAATTATTATTTAATTTATTTTATATCTTATATAAATATTTTGAATTAAAATAATTAAATTGTATTATAATTAATTTAAATTAAGTAAATCGAATTGCAAAAATTTATTTGCTTTTGTAATATTTTAACTTTTTCTTAGCTTAAAATATGGATACTATCATTAACTTCACTTCCATATATATATATATTATTATAATTTTAATTAAAAAATTTTTAATATGATGCAAAATTGAATTGTTTTACAACGTTACATTCATTTTCATTTGCTTTTACAATAAGCAAAAGTAATTTATTTCTTTTCTGTTCAGTTATTCAATAAGTATCGTCATTTTCTGAACTTAATAATAATAAAGAATTTTTTAGAGAAAAACGTAATAATAAATAAATCTCTTTCTATACTTCATATTTCAAAAATTCGAAGAATTTGTGTTGATGAGTATACAACATCTCAACTTTTCATTTGACTAATTAATTACATTTTTTATAATTAGTATCCAACTTGTTACCTTTGCTTGTTTAGAAAGAAAAAATTTGTTTACTTAAAGTTTAGTTACACAGAAAAAAAAAAACTTAGGAATATAATCTTTTAACTTTGATATAAAACCTAATACTTTCAAAATTTTATCTGTAAATTTTTGAGTATAAATAACTTTATTTGAAAGTAAAAAAAAAATTATTGAATGATTAGTGGTAGAGCATTTTTTTTCGCTAAATTATTCTTCTTATTATGTATTTCTGTTGGAGAATGAATCAACTAACAATTCTTACTTTATATAAAGTAAGTCTATGCATTAGTAAATTAAAATTGAAATTAAAATTAAAATGAATTTATTGATAGATGCAAATAGAGGAGTACTATACAAGAGTATATTCTAGTATATTTCTATTTAATTGCATTTCTACAGAATATCAATAATGAATTCATCAAATTTTCGTCCAAAAAACAAATTCCATTTATTGAACTTAACGGACGACAAATACCGGACAGTAATTACTGTATCGAACACCTTTCTCGAGTTTTTAAGGTTCAGTGCTCAAGATTTTCTCATATCTTCATATATTTTAATCGTTAGTGGAATTCATTTAAGTTGTGTTATACTACTGTTTACAGTTTTCTGCAAGAGTGTTGATAGGTTTTTCTTTCCGGAACGTTCCGGACAAACACTGAAACTGATTTTTGTTCTACCATAATAGATAAAAACTTGAAATTTTTTAGCTCTAAAAATTTCTCATTGTATTCTCTTTTGATTTTTTTCTTTTTTAAAGCTGTAAAATTCAATTGCATTTCAGATTGATTTGGAAGAACGATTAAATCCAATGGAAAAAGCACAAGCTCGAGCTTTTACATATCTCCTTGAAGAGTCTATAAGATGGTAATTTATAAAAGTTGCATTTCAGAATGTTTCTTAAATTATGACAATTTTTTGAAATCTAATTTTCGATTAATAATTCTAAGATGATTTCAAATAACACCTTATATAATTTCAATTAAAATGATTTTTAGTTTATAAGTTTGCCATTTCTGATTATTTTATTTTATATGAGTAAGATATGTTATCAGAAAACTCTATGATGGAGGCATTCATAAATTTTACTTTTCAACCTTTATTTATATCATCTAATCAAAGTTTTATCTTAGAAAATGATTATAATTATTAAAGATACAATTAATTTAATAAAAAATGAAATAAAAAATGTAGTTTAATAAAAGATGAAAATTTTAATTCTTCAACATTCCTCAATGTTAGATTATAATTACAGGATTATACTTTATAATAGAGGTAAAAACAATAAATTTATGGCAACAGAGAAAGGTTTTATCAATCATTATAGAGGTGCTAAACGAACTCTTTTTCAATATGTATTTGTGGAACAATTTCGAAAAAAGGTATGTTTATAGTGAAAGTAAGAGTAACAATTTATTAATGATAAGACAGATAATATGATTAATGATTAGATAAACTAAAAGCATTGATGGAAATAACGATTGAAATGATTAATTAAAGATTAAAATATTTTGATAGATTTGGAAATTATGCTATTATCAAGGAATTGGTAGGCATACAATTGATGAAGTGGAAAATATTGCAAAGAAAGATTTAACAGCATTATCAATTTTTCTTGGTGATAAACAGTACTTTTTTGGTTCATCACCAACAACAGTGAGTTTTTTTCCTCTTTTTTTTGTTCCTAGAAATTTAATAAATAAAACTATTAAAGTTTAAAATCTCTCATTAAGTATGTACATAGATCATTTTATTTTATCAATTAAGAAAATATATGGATGAAATAAATTGATAGATTATTTAGTTTTAAAATTAAAATTAGTCATTGTTTTAAAAATTGTAACTCGTAATAGATTTGATGCTATAATTCATTGAAATTACTTTTTGAAAGTAAATTTCAATAACATTTATATTTCAGTTGGATGCAATTGCTTTTGGCAATTTAACACAATTATTTTATACACCAATGGATAGTGATGTACTGCGAAAATATATGGAAGAAAGGACTCCAAATTTAATAAATTTCATTGAAAAAATGCGTGAAATATATTGGAAAGATTGGGATGAAGCATGTCAAACATTATCTCTTAACACTCAAAATGTTACTATCAGTTGTAGTAATATTAACAAATGATATTTGCAAGAAGTAAATAACATTTGTAATTAATTAAACATTTATTTATTACTTGTAATTAAAATTTATTTGTTTAAATGTAAGTGTTTGTTACAATAAAGAATGTTGAGGAGAAGAAGAAGAAGAAAATTATGAATTGAAAGAAAGAATGAAAGATGGGTAAAAGCAAGACTGTAGATAAACAAATATTAATGTTTAAAGAAGCTAATCATTATGGATTAGCGCATTATAGATTAACTTTGTAAATGTTATTATTTGTGATTAAAATTATTTTTAAATTTTTATTTTTAAAAAAGAAAAAAATGAGAATAAATTAGTGGATATAGTTGCATTAAGGATATTTTGTGTAAAATAATAAAAGTTTTAAATGATATGCATATATGAGCATATGAAAGTTAATGATAATGCAATCAGTAGGGATTATTGATTGATTGATTGATTGATAATTAATTTTTGTAAAATTCAGTGATTATTAATTGAAATTAAAAATTACATATATTTTTCGTTTTATACGTAATAAAATTTTACTTTGAAGTAACATTGATAGATGGTAGAAGCAGTTTAATGTGATATATTAGTATTTTCTTGTCCTAATACTGATGCATTTTTAGAAGTGTCAAGATTCATAGTTTAATTCAAAACTCAAATTTAATTTAAAATTCAATTTAATTTAATTTAGAATTTGAAATGATCCATTTAAACTCATTTAAAAGTATTATAAGACAGAATCGAAGATCTCCTCTCTTTGAAGATCATTTTTCAGATATTTTCATCAAAAATTTCATCTCAGCAATTATTAAAATAATTAATTTCACTTGCATACTTATGTATTATCTCACTTGGCTTTTAATCCATAATTTGGCCTAGTTAGCCTAGTCTCAAACTTTCACTTACTTAAGTCTTCTTCCATTTCAAATTAGCGCTTCAAACGGCCTCTCCTGCAGGAAAGATCGCATTTTCGGAATGCATCTGAAATTTTGATGCCAATTTCGCGAGATGCATTGATGGTGGTTGTAGGAGTTATAACGACATGTGGGTAATTTCAACTTAGTACGGGTAGATGTCGGGTATCTTTCTATGGATAATCACTTTGGAGGGTATTTTACATCAGGAACTTTAACGATATCTTAAAAAGATGAGAGTGGAAAGGGTCGAGTAAGCTGGGTTTATCTGCTGATGCTAAGATTGTTGTTGCTATTTTGTAAGAGATTTAGACAGAAAGCTGAGCAAAGTTTGGAGAAGATTATTGCTGAAGAAATATTCATTTGATAATTGTAGAAAGTTGAAGATGGGACCAGCAGAGGAACGACATCGATGGTCTCAAAAGCTCGAGAATGTGCTAGAGGATCGTGATGCTTTGGAAGCATTCAAGAAATGGATGAAGAATGAGTCATCGTTAGCTGAACATCCTATCAATTTACATTTTGCCATAATAGCTTACAAGTAAGTGTTATTTAAAAGCTTTAAAAAAAAATTGATACAACGGATGATTTTGTAAATTGAACCTATTTTAGATATTTCCTATCAAAATTTTTTCGCTTTTCCCTCTTTAGCTTGATACAGTGCTGGTAGCATTTCTTCTGGACAGTCAATTCTTCATATTGCACCTGTTGTAGTTGTAATAGCAATAAATATCCTTTCAGTAGTCATTAGTAGATTGATGTTTACCCTGCATATCCATTAATATATTTTTTGTTCTTGTAACTTATCTATTTAAAATGTTTAAGAAATATGTGTACGATGAAGAATGCTCGTGCTGCAGAACTTGCACGTAGTTTACACCAAAAATACATCAGTTTAAAAACGGGTGTTTGTTCTTTTTTACCTGAGGTATTAGTATTGTTATTACTTATCATACTTGTATTATTTATTATTGTTGTTTTATATTATTTGTTACAGTCAAAGTAATCTTTTGATTTTATTGTCACTAATTGCTAAATCGACAGGAAAATATTTCGGGTGAAAGCTCAATTAATTGTATGAGAGCGAAATTTGATAGTTGGTGTTATAATTTCTAGTATTTTAGGATCTTCGACGAGAAGTGAGCTTTCGAGTCCATGCCTTTTCGGCTGGTGAGCCAGACCCAACAGTATTTGACTGTGTAATTCTACCGGTAGAGCAATATTTGCGACAGCAACATGCTCAGTTTGTTTCTTCCGAAGAGTTTATTGATGCTTATAATCGAATGGAGGAATATACACCGAAACCACCTCGTATTCCATCTTCACTGATGTCAAGTCGCAAGCAGCGGAAATCGTATCCTTGTCAACCAACTCTTACTGCCGAAATGTTGTTGAAAACACAACATGAACGAGAAACTACATTGGGTGAAAGGTTGGATTTTAGAGAGTTTTCTACGTTTCCAGTTAATAATAAGCGGTGATGTTATGTTATGATATTTGGATTTTCATTGATAATAATTTGTCCATATGTAATCTCCTAACGCTTTTCTGCCTTTGTAGATTACTTTAAGGTTAGATAGTGTTTTTCATTTGTGTTGCAGTGAAGTGGAGAAGTTGTATCGACCAGTAATGAAAACACCGTACATTTGCAATGCAACAACTAGTAAAAATGATTCTGCAGTGTCATCGACTTTTTCAAGTGATGCTAACGGTCAGCATCCAGCCGTAAAATTAAGTACAATTCGAGAAGAGCAACTAAAGGGCAACCCAGCAACGCATACATTAGCGGTATGTTGAAATGTAGTTTAGAATGGAACAAAAGACTTTTGTTAAACTCACCTTGTTATAATTTAAAAATCAAATCTGCATTATCTATATTAACTGTAAGTTGTCGTCCTAGTACTTTTTTTTTTCTTCTATATTTATGATGGAAAAGCAAGAAATAATTATGAATAATATCAGAGGGTGGAGAGAGTTGATGGTGGACCGATGGTTACTCACTGCACTGAGGAGGGTCGACGAGCTTTTGCTTCACTTCTAATCGAAAAATTGAATGTTTTAAGTGCTCGTCGAAAAAGAAATGATGTTATGAGTCAGCAGCTTCGTGCCATTGAAGTAAGCTTTAACTGTTTAAAACAAAAAATAGAAATCGATTTCTTTTGTCCCTTACGTTTTCAGGATCTTCAAAATTAAAATGAAACTGATATGTCTTATAGAGTCGCAAGTGCTCAGCACGCGAAGTTGTGAACGACGTTGAACCAACAGCTGCTGAAGAAGATGATGAACTGGAACGATATGTACGACAAAGGATGGCTGATGATTCTAGCAAACCATCACCATCATATCATTCTCCGGATTCCCTCAATGCTCAATCACTTCGTTTTCGACGACGATCACCAAGTAAATTTGTCTTGGATTTTAAATATCCGTAAGATATACAATTAATTATAATGAAATTTGATGCCTTTTTTTTGTCATCAATTTCTAATTAATAACAGAAGAAAATGTTAAATTTTACTCCTTGCAGTAGCTTATTTTCTATAGTAACATCTTGTGTTCTGTATATTTAGGATCAAGCTCACCGGAACGCTTCCGACAGTACGTAGCTTCACCCATAGCTAATGTATTTTATGCGTCGAGTCCTTATAGCACAAATGGCTTTGCGCCACCACCAATTAGTCGACACAATCGAATGTCAAATGTTAATCCTGTTGCAGTAAAAGGAGCACGGTAAGCTGCTTACACAAAAAAAAGGCATTTTTATGAAGAATATATTTTTTGGTAAAAATGAGATTTTGCAGTATGCAGTCATTCGAATTTTCTAGATGTGACATGAAGTCTATGGCCATTTATGATACCTCGGGTATCGAATCGATGGCTCCGTCATCTGTAAGTGAACGTGATGAAGCAGCACGTGCTGCTATCTTTCAGAAAGCGCGGATGCTTTCATATGGTGGTTGTGCAAGCAGCAGTAGTTCTGGACGAAGAAGCAGTCACAAACAACATCACGATTTCGGTTCACTATCGTATGTTGGATATTGTTGTAACATTTGAAGATATTGTTTATATTTATCACTGTTTTTCTTGCTCTTTGGTTTTTTTGCTTTTAGTTCTTCTTCAGTTTTTACACTTTTATTGCTCAGGCGTTCACGAGGAGGAATGGATCCAAAACAGCTACTGACTATTAGTTATAAAGAGAAAGGACGGGTACCAGTAGTTGCACATGTTCCAGCTCATCCAATCACATTTCGAGAATTTCGTAAATACTTAGGAATTTCGTCAAAATCGAGTTTGCAGTTAGTTTTTTTGTACAATTGTTAGAGTCATTTCTTAAATTCAGTATGTAAATTTCAAACTTTCATTATCTCGATATATATTTTGTGCATTTCTAGATTGCGCAAGTTTTTCTCTTAAAACACTTCTAAAGGACATTCGGTTTTTATTGCTTCAATAAAAATCAAATGTGCTTCATCCTTTTCAGATTTGATTTTAATGTTTTTATTGCTTGATCCTTTCCAGATTTTATTTTAAAACTGCCTGTGAAGATGGTAATTCGCCCTATCAGCTGCTCCTTGTGAACGATGATGCCACAGTACTACCGGTATATGAAGGCCGCATAACAGCTGAATGCAAATCAGTCTCTGATTCCGAGTAGAAATCTCTTTGTTTATTTATTTGTCCATAAATGAAATAGTGATTATCAGGGTATCAATTACTAATTTTCTGAAATACTTATTTACCCTAGGCATTGATGTAAATCTTTTAGCACTCTTAAAAATTGACAACTGTTGCTTCAAACAAAAAAGGTTTTTCGTGATCTTTTATGGAAATTCGGGTCAGCTTTTTTTGCTAAAAAATTAGTGTGAAATTTCCTAGTAACTATTTACATGGACCGAAGTGATTACTTGTTTCTTCCAAACATTTCCTTCATTCGCTCTGCTTCCTCATCTTCTCATTATGTGTTCATTATTTTTTACCTATCTTTTCCGTATGTTCCATCTCTGTATTTCCGTAAATTTTTTATTTAACTGATTATTGTGTGTCACAAAATTGCAATAAGCAATCGATATTTATTTGTATTGAGCATATTGTTAGAGGTATTTATAAATAATGGGTTTCCCATATTTTGTAGTTGGTTTCTTATTGTTTTATAAAACTTATATGATATTTCTTAATAACTGTAAATGTCTACGAATCGTGTGAGTTTTGAATTTATTAAAGTTTATAACAGTAGAATTTTATAAATTTGTTTTATGGCTTGTATGTCTTCGGAGTATGTTACTTTTACGGTGATTCACTGTCATCTTATTGTACTGTTCTGTAATTCTGTGTTATACTGCTAATTCTAAAAGCTCAGTATAAGTTTATTATTATTATTATTATAAAGTTTGTTTCTAGATATGTTTGCTTTTTGCACCTAGATTTCGTATTATGGCAACTTTTGCTCTGTTATCGTCTTTGTTGATTTTCTGTATTTTTGTGTATGTATGTGTGTGTGTTTTTTTCTATCCACATTACTATTTCGGTATAGTTCTATTTCTCTTCTGTCAATTAATAGTTTTATGAATTTTAATGTACTGTGATCTGAAGATTTTGTTGTAATTTTTTTTTTTTTTTACATTTTCACGCAACGGTACATCCCGTCATAATCGGCCACAATTCAGCTTTTTTTTTTTTTCATGTTTTATTCGCCACAAAGGAGATTGCTGGTGAAATGTTGTACATTTCTCAGTATTTATAGATGCTTTAGTTTTTCTTTTGCTTTTAATAAATGTGTACAAAAAGAATTTCTTAATGTTTAATTAATTTTTGAGTTATGTTTCAACAAAGTATGTGAAGTACTTATCAAAATTTATGCTAGGTAATAGCAGGAATGAGAATAACCTCTAAATTTCCCAGTAATGTTATTCTTATAATATTGAGGGTTGAAGATGACATGAAAGTTTTGATATTACAATATTAAACAAATGTAGCATTAAACCCTATTAAATATTCTGAAAAGTTGATTTGAGGAGATTCATCAATCAATTGTAGCAAATCTTGTATAACATTTCTCCTAAATAAGAAAGTTAAATTAATGAAAGGAACTTATGTTATAGTGTATTTTAATGTATAGTAGCAAATCCAAAGTAAATAGTGTTTCAGGACAATGGATAAAGAAGATAGAATTGATGGTAATGTTTTCAATAAGCATAATAATGAAAAGGGAGAAATCAAAGAAATTCAAGAAAGAGAAGAAATTGTCAAAATGTGGAAGCATATGGACGAGAAGTTAGAAATGAAAGCCAAATCACTTAATCTTACAGCTATCAATGTCAAGTCGATATTGCACGTAGGTTTCTCTTCAATTTTCTTCAGTTTCTGACATTTGGAAGAATTACATCACTTCTAATGAACTAATAAAGAATTAAATTATGAGAACGATAATTCTGAAAAAGGATCTAAGTTATTTCTGAATAAAAAAATCAGAATTCCGTTGTCATAGAATTTTCAAAGTAATAAAAATTTCATCATTTTTCAAAATTATATTGCTTATGATTTGCAGCATATGATAAAGAATCCACAAGTGATATCTGTCATTATGGGATTAGATAAGAGCTCTGCAATTGCAGATCTTAAGTTGACAAGATCACGAACAAAACATTTATCCGGACAAGAAACGGTAATTCATGCAATTTAATTAGCTAGTAAAATGTGTTTACAATTGAAATTATACATAAATAGTAAACTCATGTTTTTTCATCTATATAATTTGCACTCATTTTTTGTTAAACTTTATTTAAAAGTCTTTCAAATCGATGTTTTTGCAGAATACTGGTGTGAAAGAAGGAGATGTTGTGACAGTGCCTCGTGTTTCACGAACCTTCCTTGACGTTAATTATGATTCAAATGAAGATGATGATGATGATTATCTCCCTGAGCAGGTACTCTGTGTTATTCTTTGCTTTATAAGTTCGTTTCCTCTGATCAGAATTCTAAGGTTTTGTTTTACCTTTTTTTTTTTTATTAGAAATTATAGTAAAATGAATTGATTGACTATGCCAGTGGGGTTAATTTTTTTTTTTTTTTTTATAATAAATTTAATATCTCCAATTTTGGCTTATATTTTCAGGATGAGGAGGCGAGTGAAATAGAAGTAGAAAATGAAGCAGATACTGGAGAAATTTCGTTTGGTGTTTTGAATAATGCACTTCAGGTGTACTTTATTGATCTCTTTGGATTTCATATAATGATTACATATATAAAAGTTTTTATTTGTAAAAGAGTGTAGTCAGTTCGCTGTTTTAGGTAGAAGTTAGTAATGATGATGATGATGTGGCACCTGCATTACATACACGCTCAAAACATGAAAGTAACATTTATCCAGAAGATATACCAAACTTTGGTGATGATGTTTTATTGTACAGTGCAGTGGATGATCCAGAATATGTGGAATTCATTTCAAATCTGAACGATCCCTCAAAATATGATCTTGATGGTATTCATTTATTGTTTGTTGTTTTGAATGGTTCTACTTTTCATTGCTCTCTATTGATAGCATAATGTATGTATTTAATGATGCTTTTATTCATAAGTATCTTATTACAGAGGCCGAAGATCCAGAATATAATTTTCTTTCGGATGCAGATGCGGAAGACATAACAGAAGAGTATGAAATACGGAAAGATCGTGCCACAGAAATACCTTGTAAGTATATTTTCCATTTTATTCGCTAGCTACATTACTATACACGAAGTTTTGTTGTGAAGAGTTAATCACTAAGCAACTTGAAAGACTGATTGTTTTCTTTTTTGCAGTACGAGAAGTTGAAAACTTGTTGCAAGACTTGTTGGAGGCTCGTTTATTGCCTTCACCTGAACATTTGGAGCAAACTATCGATTGCGTGAAGGTGATTTTAAGATATTCTTTCAAAATTGAAATTCGGAATGTGACCCTTATCACATCATAATGTTTTTATAATATTAGTAGTCGATAATTTCAGAGCATAGCTAAATTTATTTTTAAAAATTCAAATGTTATGAAGCTCAGTTATAATACATCACTTTGTATTGAGTTTTTGAAGTGATACTTTTTAGAAATTATATATAAATTTTTTAGGATGAAAATAAATCATGTCAGTTGGATAGGCAGGATGATTATAAGCCAAATATGAAGAAGACTAAAACAATGCTTATGGAATCTTTACCAGGAAATACTGAACCAACCACCATTCTTGTGGATGCAACTTTGGATGATTTTCAGAAGATTTCGACAATGTCTTCATCTCTTTTATGTGCCAGTGTTGAAAATCCTCCTTTCTTTTCATTTTATGAACTTCAGCAGCTTATTGCTCAATTAGAAAAAGTAAGTATTGGTTTACATCATTTGCTATGTTTCAAAATATTTGTAAATATTTCTTTTTGTTAAAAAAATTTAAATAAATGCTTTTTATTTTTGCCGATTTATCAATGATAATTTTTAGTTAGTTGTTGTGCACATCTAAAATTACTGTTATTTTAGCATGTGCAACTTTTAACTCAGTTTGCAGTGGGCTGTTATTTCAGTAAAGCAATGATCGAAACATATAATGCTTTTCAAGTTATGATTGTAAGTTTCAGGTCTTTGCAGTAGGTTTTGAAACATTGTTTAATAGGACATAGATTTTCATCTCGTGGTTTTTTATGAATTTCTTTATTTTTTCTGTTTATGAAGTGAATAATATGAAATAATTTTCGCATTCTCTACAAAACTTGTCATGTTGCAGAATGAACTGAATGATTATTGTTTGAAACGCCCAGAACATTCTCTATTTAATATTGTAAATTTGGAAGCTTGTATAGCTACATGCCACGATGCAATAGAATGTGAAGCTATTAGTGATTTTATTACTCATCGACGGAAGTCCAGGAAATGTACGTTAAATTTTGATGTAGATAGTAGATATAAGTATTTTGCGAATGAACAAAAATGTTTTGTTCCTGAATAATCTTGAATTTTTAGTGCAACTTCCGTTACCAAGAACGATGTTCATTCTTTCTCGAAGTAGAGCATTGCTTTTTCCTGAACTACTACCACAGGTATAACTTTGTTATTCTTTTAAATAAAAAGTTGTTTACACAGAAAAATGTCTTTTGTTGTCAATGAAATGATTACTTTTTAGGTTCGTATGGAGATTTTTCCCACATTTTATCCATATTTTATCCGAGAGGAAGAGTGTCTTCTAGCTCTTGGTTTGTATCAGTTCACTCATTTGAAACAATTTTCTGCAAAACGAAGATGTTATGCATTGATCAATGAGCATTTATTAGCAAACAAAACACAGTCACAGATACGGTTGCATTTGAAAAATTTTCGTTGCAGTAACCAACCTGTACATACGCTTTTCGTGGTAAGGATCCATTTTTTTTTTTTTTTTGTGATTAAAAAAATGATTTCAAAGACATCTTCTGATTGTTTAAAGTGGTGTTAAAGAGAGGTTTTTATATAAAGTTTTAGCGAAGTAAAGTTTCAGAAGGCTGAAACGGGTATGGTAAACATGATTTTTCCGTTGGAAAATAGGTCGACCGCGATTTCTGGTCCCCCTTACTTATGGCCACAGCATCTTCAGCCTAAATGGCTCAAGGTTTCCTTAAGAAAAATTTCAATTTAGAATTACAAATTTTGCTCTATTCAGCA